AATTCTTTACAACTTTAATATTACCTCCACTTATCATTATATCACTTATCGGTCCAGTTGTCCGGGTTTTAGTTTTCATTATGTTTATATATATATATATATATAATATATATATATGTATATATATATATCATATATATGATATCAACTTTAAGTGTTTAAGAAATGTTCATGATCTCATCTTGAAAATAATTTTTTTTACACAGAAATTCCAACTGATAATTACCTGTATGATCTTGGCCAAATTATTTAATTATTATTTGACTCAGTTTCCTCATCTATAAACAAGGGTTGTTGAGAGAGTTACAGGATATGGTTCACATAAGTCCATTAGAATAGTGCCTGATATATAGTAAGTGCTCAATAAATTTTAGCCACTGTTGTTATCATCATCATCATTATCATCATCATCATCATGTTTTCATGAAAATAATTTTTGTCACTAAATTCCTTTTTCCTATAATTTAATATTTTCCCTTCTTCAATGAAATCTGAACAATTAAGAACTTATACATTTTGGCAATATTGTGGAATAATTCTCTGATTGAGAAACAACCTGTAACAAATGTCTCTAAGAGTAAATACATACCCCATGGCATATCAAAGTGTTCTTTTTTACTAAGCTGTATTACTGTCATTAACTATTCTGGAAGACATTTGCCATATAAAATGCAAATTTTCAAAATTCACAGCTTTCTGATGGCATTTTTAATTGATTTTTTATATTATAATAAATACTTACAGTGGGTATTTCCCATGTCAACTCTAATTGCCATAATAAACCTATTGCTGTCTTTTGCAGATGAGAAAAATGATGTACAAAGAAATTAAATCACTTGCTCAAGATTCCATAGCTATTATGTGGCAGAACAGGGATTTGAACCCAGGAAGTCCAGATCCAGAGCTAATCAATTTATGGCCTCTAAATTAGGAGACATTGTGGAAAAATGCTAAGCACTCAACTGCTAACTGACAGGTTGGCCGTTCAAATCCACTCAGAAACTCTGAAGGACAAAAGACCTAGTGATCTGCTCCCTTAAAGGTTATAGCCTGGGAAACCCTGTGGGACAGTTCTATTTTGTCATATACGGTTGTGATGACTTGAAGGCACACAAAAATAGCAACTTTGTTTATAAACTTGTTTATATTTAGGAGTAACTGGGTGGTACAGATGGTTAAGCACTTGACTACTAGCTGAAAGTTTGGTGGTTCAAACCCACCCAGAGGTCCCTCAGATAACAGGCCTACCAAGCTGCTTCTGAAAGTCACAGCCTTGAAAACCCTATGGAGCAGTTCTACTCTGTACCCACGGGGTCACCATGAGTCAGAAACAACTCTACAGAAATCACTACTACCACTACCACCAACAACAAAGTTATACTTCCTCTTTGGTCAGAAGATAGACTGTTTTTTGCTTCTCCTTTCTTATGGGCAGGCTTTTCCACGTTCTCATAGTGTGGTTAAGTAAAATGGACAGTACTTATGTGACTAATATTGGAAATCTCTGGAAAAGAAATGGTGGCTCTGAACAAAATGACCACTTTCTGTTGACATATTCTGGGATATGATATCATCACCTGTGCTAGCGCTTTAGCTAATCTTTAAAACCTAATAGTCATATCCCTAACTGTGTAACTCACATGTTCCATTAGAAGAGAATAGCGGGAAGCTATCTTTCTGCACACAGAAGAATAGATCACCTTGTCCAGTTTTGCTAAAAGTTTTCGGAGGGTGAGCAAGGCCCGAATGACTACAGTCTTGTCTTTGGAAAGGAAGGCATCCAGGATGGAAAATATTAAGCTGCAGACGTTTTCTATCTACAGATAGAAGGAGGAAAATGGTGTGAGATTTTGGAACTAAAAGGAGATTTCAGCTAGCATTCTGTATGCATCCTTGAGCCTGGGAAATACACAGTGGTGTTCTAGAGTTGGTTCACAAGAATTATCAAATTGCCAAAATTTTGTGACCTAGTTGTTAAAAAGAGCCATCATTAAAGATTAGATAATATAAACTTATGATTGAATAAATATAGTGGTTATAAGCACTCAAAATTTATCACCTTCTAATTATTTTGCTACATTTTGTAATTGTCTACACTCTAGAGGTTATTTAGGAAGCCTGGGTGGTGTGAATGGTTTGCAATCAGCTGGCAACCTAAGAGGTTGGGCAGCTTGAACCCATTTAGCACCTCCATGCTGAACCGCTTCTGTAAAGATTACAGCCAAGCAACCCCTATGAAGCAGTTCTACTCTGTAACATAGGAGGTCATCATGAGTTGTGAGTCACCTTGATGGTAGCTAGCAACAACAAGAAGAGATTATTTACATCTATTTGTCTGTACTGTGGAAATAATCAATAATTTCCTGTGAATCTCTTCCCATCTCTGTGATTAGTGATGTTGCTTTGATAGCTGGAAATCAGCCATGATAGAAGTGTTTACACCAGGGAAATTGACCTTGTTTGCTGGGGAGCTAATTGTTAAGATTTACTACCAAACTTCTCTAAAGTAGGTATGTGGTAGTGACGTTGGACATGAGAGCCACTGAGCTGCTGAGTAAAGCCTCAGGAGTCAATTATGGATCAGAACCAAACAGAACGTAAAGCAAGGTAAATCATGACATGGAGGCATCAAATAAGGAGAAAGAAGAATTAAAAGTAGTGAAGGAAATAAATAAATATTCATTGAACTGATAGCATTTGCCAAAATAAGAGTTTTAAATTTAAAAAAAAAAAAAAAAAGAGGAATGGAGTATATTAGAGCCATAGCCTGTTCATATCCAGCGGGAAAGCTGAGTATTTACTGATACTACATAAAACTTCAACCAGATTATTCTCCACTACTTTCTCAAGAAGTCCTGATGATGTAACAGTTAAGCTCTTGCTGCTAACTGAAAGGATAGGTAATGAATAAATAAATTAGTAAATGACTGAATAAACAAGATGGTCAAATAAATACATACAGAAAGAAGGAATGAAGGAAAAAAAATCATCTAGGGATTCAGCCACTTGCCCTCACCTAGGGCGATCTAAGCTAGCACATTAAATAAAGACATGTCAATTATCCCCTAGCTTCACGTGGCTGGGGACAGAGGGAGGTAGTGACTCTCAGTTTACAAAAAGACAGTTGTATCACAAAAACAGAGACTTCAGGGACTCAGCAAGAGATGTGTGTGTTCCCTCTCAGAGGATATAGACTGAGAGAGTCCACAGACAACAGTGAGATGGCAAAGGTATATGCCCAAGCTGGGGATATTTGCTCTTGACAGTGATGAGGGCACAGGTAGTTGGCAGTGCAGGCTATATTGGGGGAGAGGAAGATATCTGTGCCAGGCAGAACTGACAGGGTCATATGCAGGGTGAGGCCCACAATGGAAGGAGAGAAACATTTAGTTACTTGGGAGTAATGGCAGCAGCATGTACTTGTACTTAGTGAAGGTGGGATCATGGCCCTGAAACTGCACCTTCAAAACCTTGAAGGAAACAAATTGCCAATGAAGAATTACATATCCAGCCAAACTGTCCCTCAGATATGAGGGTGAAATTAAGACATTTCCAGACAAACAGAAATTAAGGGAATTTGTGAAAACCATACAAACTCCACAAGAAACACTGAAAGGAGTTCTTTCAACTCAAGACACTTGATGCCACCACCTAGAAACCAACCTGGAATAAAATTCTCCAAAAAACTCACAAAAAATGTAAATAGAGAAATAAAGGAGTCGATCTAAATTGTAAGTGACATCAACAACAAAAAAAATAGAGCAAATAAATGTTATAATTACAAAACTTCCAACTGGAAAGGAAGTCAGGACAATGTCTATATAGAACAGAGTGTTCCAAACTTAGGGAGATAAAAATTTACTACAGGGTAAACACAAAGAAAATGAACAATCCTTCTAATCAAACCAAGAAAGAAGAAAATCACAAAAGCTTAGTAAACACAAAACAAACAATATTGAAGAGAAAAATTCCTAGATAACAAAATGATCTCAGCACAGAATATTTGGAACAAAGAAACCACCACCAACACAACAAAAAACACAATAGAATGACTGCAATAAATTCATACCTATCATTAATTGCAATGAATATGAATGGACTAAATGCACCAGTCAAGAGAAAGAGAGTAGCAGCCTGGATAAGAAAAGTAGGCCCATCAATATAAGAGACCCACCAATAAAAGACCCACTTTAGATGCAAAGATAAAAATAAATTAAAAAACAAGGGATGGAAAAAACAAATATATCAACTTATGGCAACCAAAAAAGAATACAAGGGGCGATATTAATTTCTGATAAAATAGACTTCAAGATGAAAACCAACACAAGGGACAAAGAAGGTCATTATATGATGTTAAAAGGGTCAATTGGCCAAGAGGACATTACCATAATAAATATCTATGAAAGAGCTCCAAAATACATAAAGCAAACATTAGTTGAATTGAAAGGCAAAATAGACAATTCTCCAATAATAAAAACAACAAAACAAAAAAACCAAAAACTCACTGCCATTGAGTCACATCTGACTAAAGCAACCCTTCCTTGGGTTTCTGAGGCAGTACCACTATGGAAGTAAATTGCCCAATCTTCCTTCTGAGGAGTGGCTGGTTGGTATGACCACCAGCCTTCTGGTTAGCAGTCAAATGCCTTAGGCACTATGACACCAGAGTTCCCATTAGTAGTAGGGGACTTTAATACACCACTTTTGATGAAGGACAGAATAACAAGAAAAAAACTCAATAAAGATACAGAAGCTCTCAACAACACAATCAACCAACTTGACCTCATAGACATATACAGAGCACTCTACCAAACATAAGCACAATATACATTGTTCTCCAGTACACATGGATCATTCTCCAGAATAGAACATGTATTAGGCCACACAATAAGCCTCATAAATTCAAAATCATTGAAATATTACAAAGCATCTCTTGGATCACAATGCTATAAAATTAGAAATCAATATAGGAAGACCAAGGAAAAAAATAAAATACATGGAAACTAAGTAATAATACACTGCTGTACAACTACTGAATAACAGAAGAAATAAAGTGTGAAATTTAAAAAAAACAAAAAACCTAGAAACAAAGGAGAATGAAAATACAAAGTCTTTGGGACACAGGGAAAGCCGTACTCAGAGGTCAATTTGTAGCAATAAATGCACATATCGAATCAAAATCAATACTTTAATATATCCAAAAATTAGAGAAAGAGCAACAAAAGAAACCTAAGTGTCCAAACGAAAGGAAATAATAAACATCAGAGCAGAAATAATGAAGCAGAAAACAAACAAATAAAAAACAATTGAGAAAATGTACAGGACAAGAAGAAGCTGGTTCTTTGAAGAGATTAACAAAATTAACAAAACACTGGCAAATTTAACAAGGGAAAAGAGAAGACGCAAATAACATGAATAATAAATAAAATGAGTGACACCACAATAGAACCAATGGAAACAAAAAAGGTAATGACAGAATATTATGAAGAATTGTACTCCAACAAATTTGAAAACCTGAAAGAGATGGACCAATTTTCAGAAACATAAGACTTGGATAAACTAAAACAGTCTGAGGTAGAATACTTGAACAGACCCCTAACAAAAGAAGAAATTGAGCAAGTCATAAAAACTCACCACAAAAAAAGTCCTGGCCTAGATGGCTTCCCTGAAGAATTCTATCAAACACTGAGAGAAGAGCTGACACCAATACTACTCAAACTATTCCAGAACATTGAAAATGATACAATACTCTCAAATTCATTCTATGAAGCAAGCTTAACTCTGATACCAAAACCAGGTAAGGACACCACTAAGAGGAAAATTACAGACCTATATCCATCATGAATATAGACATAAAAATCTTCAATAAAATCCTACCCAACAGAATCCAATACTATGTATAAAATAATAATAATAATACACCATGACAAAGTGGGATTTATACCAGTTGTGCAAGAATGGATCAACATCAGTAAAACAATCCACGTAATCCATCACATAAATAAAACAAAAGAACCACATGATCATATCAATTGATGCAGAAAAGGCATTTGATAAAATCCAACACCAATTCCTGATCAAGACTCTCAGAAAAATAGGAATAAAAGTGACATTCCTCAACATAATAAGGTCACATACACAAAACCAACAGCCAACATTATTCTCAATGGAGAGAGATTGAAACCATTCCCTTTGTGAACAGGAATCAGACAAGGATCAAGACAAGAAGAAGCTGGTTCTTCTATCACCACTTCTATTTAACATTGTATTGGAAGTCCCAGCCAGGCCAAAAAGGCAAGTAAAGGAAATAAAAGACATACAAATTGGCAAAGAAGATGTAAAACTATCTCTATTTGCAGATGACATGATCTTTTACAGAGAAAGCCCAAGAGACTCAGCAAGAAAAGTACTGGAACTAATAGAAAGGTTTAGCAAAGTGGCAGGATACTAGATCAACATAAGAAAATCATTTAGATTCCTCTACATCAACAAAGAGATCTCTGAAAAGGAAATAAGGAAAATAATACCATTTACAGTAGCTATCAAAAAGATAAAATACTTAGGAATAAATCTTACCACGGACACAAAAGATCTATGCAAAGAAAACTACCAAAACACTACTACAAGAAACTATGTAAGTGGAAGAATATGTCATGCTTATGGATAGGAAGACTGAATATTGTGAAAATGTCAATACTACCCAAAGCAATCTATATATTCAATGCAATCCTGATACAGATTCCATCAGCATTCTTTAAAAACAAGGAAAAACAAATCACTAACTTTATATGGAAAGGAAAAAGATCTCAGATAAGCA